AGGCTCGCAACCTCTAGGTGTTTGTGAACGATGTGTTCACCGGTGTAATCCATCCCCCACATGGTTGCCTTAAGGACATTTATTGCTGAGGAATCCCCTTAGCATTAGTGTCCATCCCGATGTTGATCCTTAGTCTAGGTCCCTTATGATAGGTGTTTTAGGGACGTAATGTGAGGATAACGGGAACGGGTAATCGGGTTATTGTTGGTTGATGAAATTAATAAACTTATTTATTGTGGGTTGAAAACCCTATGTGCTCATCATGCTCCCAAGCCTGCCCACTCAGTTTCATGTGTTACAGGTAGTGGCGCTCGAGCATAGATGTGATGTTTTGGATGAGGGATTACGGATATAGGCCTGTAGATATGAAATAATGTAGTAAGGCTTATATTGTACTGTTTATGCTTTTGATCTGTATCGAACATGACATCCCGAGTCTTTTTAATGAAATACATTTCTACGGAAATGATTTGATAAATCTTTATCATATTTTATTTTGGGAACAAATTCTGCAACACTTTTATGAAAAATATTACTCTGAGTTTCAAACAAGCATAAACAAAATCGGTCTTTTCTGGCCGTGATGTCACACATGCCTTCCCTATTAAAGACCATGGGAGAGCCCATGGCACCTAGGTGTAAGACAATGTGGGGAGCCCATGTCATCCTGGAGTAAGACCCTGGGGACGAGCCCACGACATCCCTATATGTTATATGCATGGCTTATGTGATATATGTAGCTTTGTAGCTAATATGATATGTGATTATGTGGATTGTGTGTGGAGTATGCTCTGGGGAACTCAGTAAGCATTAGCTTACAGTTTGTTGATTTGTTTCAGGTACTTCGGTGTCACACCCCAAAACCAGAATGACGGAAACGTTCTGGGGTGGAGGACGTCATGTGTAGCATCACAACCAATGAATAATAGCAATCATAGCAACACAACCATTACAGTGAATACTTAAATAAAAATGTTTACATCAGTTTGAAACTTTGTCTGAAACTTGTTTGAATTACATCAAATAGCTTTGTAAAGTATAAACATAAAACTCTTATTGCTCCAACTCCTCAAAAATCCAGCAGGTACCTGTCTACTGATTTCCTGAGAATACAAGCAGTTTGAAAGAATACCAGCATAAAGCTAGTGAGTTCATAAGCGGTAGTTTGTAATGAAAACTTGTTGATGAGTTATAAAAGTGTTTGTGTAGTTTCAAGAAAATCCGATATTTTCTTAAATGAGAATGTAGTGTTTTCAATTCTGTATAAAACCATGAATGTTTGTTACTGAAAACTGTAGTGATGTGCGAAAATAATACTTCATGTGACTAGCTAATGCTAATCATGATGTATAAGTATTTCGTACGTGAAACCATTGTATGTTCAGTTCTGTTTGAAAACCCTGAAAGTTCTCCAGTTGTAGTGTGTATTAGTTCTATTTAGTATAAATAAAACTGTTGAAGAGTGCCATGTTGTAAACTAAAGGTGATTCATACATATAACCATGCTTGATATGACTAGAGACCTTTCCAACGTTCTTCAGGCGTCGAGTTAAATGACATTTGTACACCCCAGGCGTGCCCGCCTAACTGTAGCTAGCAGTTCAGGTGTGGGATTGTCAGTCCCGAATAGATCTATTCACAAATCTCACGCTCTCCCTCCAGGAGACTTTGGTTATACTATGATAGGATTTATCCCTGTATACCTAAGGGTACAGTATTGAAGTAGCGCCTCACAGTATCGTACAATCTAGTTTACATGTAGTGTAGTAGCGTTCTACCGTAATGAAAATCCGTATGTAGTGATAATTACAGTTATGAATACTATGATAAAATAGTGAGGTAAACTGTAAACTATTTCTGTCTTAGTGCATATGTTTAGCAGTGAAAGTTTCTGTACTTGTTGTGTTTAGAAAATCCCAAACTATACCGATTATAGTTTGCATGTATAACGTAGTGAATAGCGTGTCCGGAAAACTTATGCAATTTTAGTGAAAACGCCCCTTATGCTCAACACAGTACAAAAGGGTTAAAGTATGAGATTTGCATGAGTTTGAAAACATTTATGTTTAGCTTGTATTCCCCCCTGAAAACATTAAAAATACGGAAAATGTAGGGGTATGAACTCACAGTTTGACGTAAGATCCGAGCGTAAGGTCGGTGCGGATGCTGAGTGTCAACTGATGTTTCGTACGCAAGTGGATCCTATTAACATATGGTAACACATATATGCATTAGATGAGGACCTAACACTATTTGTTATGGAAGGAAACCACCTTAGGGACTAGGAAACACTTGAAACTAAGTGTTAGAATCACACGTGATTGAAGATGGGGAGTTTGCGGCCGTAATCAGGAGTGTACGGTCAGGGGTTTGCGGCCCAACAGGGTTTACGGCCCACGAGTTTGCGGCCCAAGTGTTTGCGGTCCATGGGTTTACGGCCCATGGGTTTACGGCATGTGGGTTTACGACCCATGTGTTTACGGCCGTAAACACTTGGTGAAAGGTGCGATTTTTGGTGTTTCAAGGTCCTTTCTAGCCTCTTGGAAGTGTTCTAAGCCTTGTGCCCAACTCAAGGAAGAGTTTAAAGGCCAATAATCGACCAAAAATGGAGTTTACGGCCATTGAAGGGATTACGGCCGTAAACCCATTTCGTGTTCATGATTTCAGGTCGATTTCTAGGTGAAAACAAGTGATTCTTAATAGATAACAAGCATAGGGAGTAGATACTTACTGTAAGAGGCTTGGAATGAGGTTTTTAGTCACCAAGAACTAGTGTGTGTTCTTGGTGTTCTTGGTGAGAGAGAAGATCTAGAAAAAGATGAAATTTATGATATGAAACATGGATTCATCACTGGAAAAGGGATTGAAACACCATAGAAGTGAAGAATCACTTACATTTTGAAGATCCTTGAGCAAAACTCGAAAATGGTAGAGAGAGTAGAGAGAGAAAGTCCCTTGAGTGCTTAAAGCTTGAAATGAAAGCCACTCATCCCTTATATAGGGGTGAGTTTACGGCCAAGGGGTGGGGTGGGGGGGTTTACCGCCGTAAACTCGAGTTTGCGGTCGTAAACTCCTCTCGAAGGGGGTTTGGCCCGGATGCTATGCTTTGACTTAGAAACCTTGATTTTGAACCCAAAACTTAATTGGACCGAGCCTAGAATATTTAATTAAGCTCAAAATAATGATGACAATAGCAGAAATAAATTCCAAATTGATTTATTTTTAACGATTTGAACAAAAGAAATTTCGGGTTGTCACATTCGGAGCCTAAGGGCAAGGGCAAGGCTTGATGGTACTTCGGGTGTGACCTGATGAATACCAGGCGACGTCTGATGAATGTCGGGCAGGGCCTAAATTATGTATGGCATGCAATATTTTGGGGAGCTCATTAAACTTTGTACTTACGGTTTTATGTTTATAGTTTCAGGTGTACTTCTGAATCCAAGGGGAAGAGCTTGAAGTGATTGCATCACATCTTCCATTATTCCGCATTTATGATATGATTTGTACTATGATAATTATTTTATACATTTTTACACTTTGATAGGGTTTGAAATGAATGATTGGTGGTTTTGAACTTTTGATTGACTTAGAAACAAAAAAATTTTACTTTGTATTTCTGGGTGTTACAATAATAATAATAATAATAATAATAATAATAATAATAATAATAATAATAATAACTATAATTTGAGTTTGGAATCGGCAATAAATGTTGTTTTGTTTTGTATAAGATATTGTTCAATTTAATTTAGTGATATTACTTTCATTTGTTTTTTTTATTTTATTTAAGAACTAGAAATTGCTATCTTCTTGCTTTGTGGGGGACTCAAACATGTTCGATCATTGTGGATAAAGATTTTGCTTCCTATGTTGTATCACACAAAAAGGAAGTACACACTTTCTATTAAATAAAAATCATTTTCGTAAGTTTTTGAACACATGAACTATTCTGTAAACAATGTTTTCTGTAAATTATAAGGATAGTTTTGGACCAAATTTGTCAAGACACGAAATTCTTGTGGCACATGGACCATTTTGTAAAAACAAAACTGTACATAGACCTGTGTGTAAATTATAGGGACAATTTTTGTAATTTATTTAATATACATGTACCAAATTTAATATAAAATATTTGATGGCAAAGTATGAAACCAAAAACTTCACTATTCCTAAACAGGTTACTCTAATTTTTTATATATAATAATTCTTGATTCTTTACTCCTTGTTTGTTGATTGTTTACTTGTATCACAAAAATTCAACCTTTCCGTTATCATTTGATTTGAACACGAGTAATTATATGTTTTCTATTGCCATTGTTTCGAAATATTCTTACCTGTCTTTGGCGGTGATCAAGGAAATGTGAGCCAGATAATGACACAAACGAAGAAGTCAATGAAATTTTTTTTTGGTTGCTTGTAGCTTGGCGGGTTTGAAGCTCCAAAATGGCAATTATCTTTCTGCTTAGTTGACTCGTGAGTCTTGATGATTTATTGGCCGTTGTATATTAATTTCATTCTATATAATGTTCAAGAACCTTCTTGTATTCATATAAAAATATGAGAGTAGTTTAATAATCTTGAAGATCAGATTTAGTCCTATATATATGGATTATTTGTTTTTACATTTCTTCTATGGTATTAATTTATCAACATATTCAGGTGCTGGTTGCAAAATGAATTTCCACATTAGTACTTGAAGCACATCTTGAAACTACAAACCCCATCTGGACATAACAATCAAAACTTTGAAAATTAAACAGACAGAGACAGGATTGCATTATCATAATATTTTTTCGTTTGTTCGTAGGTATAAAATTATCTTCTAGGTTGATGTTAAATCGCTTAGCGGTCTTATTCATTAGTTAATTCCTACTATAATTTCCACGAAACTTTGAATCTTTATATAAAATTATGGCATTAGCATCCACATTAACTATAGGTACGTGGTTTTTATTTATCGATGTATAATTCAGGTGTTTTTGCTTAATTAATTAGTCATGGCTACCTCTTTCAGTCGTTCATCATCTCCAATACTTCAAATTTCTTGTATCTTTTTCTTTGTCAATTCATTTTTAATCGTGTTACCTTTGTCTGAATCGGTATATTTCAATATCACTCAGTTTGAGGCTGATGCAACAAACATACTCTATTCAGGCGATGCGGTGCCATCTCTTGGAGACATAGAGTTTAACAGAGTGAATTACCTCAATCGTGTTGGCCAGGCTGTGTACGCAGATACAATCCTGATTTGGGATAGAAAATCTGGTAAGGTTTCAGATTTCACCACTCGCTTCACCTTCATTATCGATACACAAGCTCAATACTCCTATGGCCATGGGTTCGCTTTCTTTCTTGCCCCAGTTGGCTTTCAAACCCCACGCAACTCAGCTGGTGGGTTTCTAGGCCTGTTTAACACAACTTACACCGATTCACCCCGAAACCAAATGATTGTCATTGAGTTTGACTCTTTCATCAACGAAGAATGGGATCCTTCATACGAACATGTGGGTATCAATAAGAACTCAACTAGTTCGGCTAATTACACTTCTTGGAATGCTAGTTTACACAGTGGAGACCCTGCGGATTGTTGGGTTTCTTACAATGCTACCACTCAGATTCTAAACATGTCATGGAGCTATGGGGCTAGAAATGATTCTAGAGAGAATACCAGTCTTTCGTATCAAGTTGACCTCCGGGAAGTTCTTCCTGAGCAGGCAACAGTTGGATTTTCGGCTTCCACCGGTAGCAATGTGGAGAGACATATCCTTCAATACTGGGAGTTCAATTCAAGCTTGAATATAAAAATCGAAGATGATTCCATTGAGAGGAAACTAGCAGAGGGATTAACAGTCCCTATTGGCGTTCTGGTTTTAGGAGGCATAGTAGCATGCAATATAGTAAGGAGGAGACAAAGAAAGGCTACACAGAATTCATTAGAGACAGTCACCTTGACATCAATGATGAACCATTTTGAAAGAGGGGCAGGACCGAAAAGATTTTCTTACAGAGATCTCGCTTCAGCTACCAACAACTTTTCTGATGACAAGAAATTGGGCGTGGGAGGATTCGGGTGTGTCTACAAGGGCTACTTATCCAGCGAAGCCAAAGAAGTTGCTGTCAACAAAAATTCACAGGGTTCTAAACAGGGAAAAAACGAGTACATAACCGAAGTAAAGATCATTAGTCGTTTAAGGCACCGAAACTTAGTACAACTCATTGGTTGGTGCCACGATCAGACTCAATTCTAGCTAGTTTACGAGTTTATGCCAAACGGAAGCCTGGATTCTCACCTCTTTGGCAAAAAGAGTCCCCTTTAAAGAATTATGTCAACCAAACTAACACTTTGATTGTATTAGAGAAATTCAGTATCACAAAAACTCTAACAATTGACCTATCTCTATACATGATCAACGCATACATATATAGATCTAGAATTCATATTGGATTACAATTCCTAAACAAAGAATTAGTAAACTTTCCATATAACACGTATCTTGGACAGCACTCCAAAACACCGATGGGTCGACCCGCGACATTAAGCCCATGGTCTCAACCCATTCGACCAACAATCACCCCCTGAATGGTTGAGACGGCAACTCGCACACACCGAGTAACGATCTCATTTCACCGAACCTTACTCGCGCTAAGGCTTTTGTTAGGGGATCCACTACTTGTTCTTTTCCCGCCACGTGTTCGACTTCAACTTGCTCGTTTTCCACATGCTCTCGAATGAAGTGGAAACGAGTGTGAATATGTTTGCTCCTCCCGTGAAACACCGGATTTTTAGACAACGCGATCGCCGACTTGTTGTCTATACGAATCAACACCTTTTGTTTCTCTAATCCGGTCACCTCCGCGAGCAACTGCCTTAGCCAAATTGCTTGGCATGCTGCTGAAGTAGCTGCCATGAACTCGGCTTCACACGAAGATAAAGCAACGGTTTCTTGCTTTTGCGAGCACCACGTAATAGGGGATTTACCAAGAAAGAAAATGTGACCAGTAGTACTCCGACCATCATCCATGTCTACATTATGACTACTATCACTATAACCCAAAAGTTTCAACTCGTCACACTTTTCATATTTAATTCCAAGCGAAATTGTACCACGAAGGTAACAAAGAATTTGCTTGATCGCGCGCGCATGAGATTCTCTCGGACTTTTCATATAACGACTTACTACCCCGACCGAGTAAGATAAGTCTGGACGAGTGTGAAGGAGGTAGCGTAAGCATCCAACTATCCTTCTGTAATTAGTGGCTTCAACTTCTGGTTCATTCTCGGCTTTCGATAATTTTAGTCCCGGTTCCATTGGACATTGAGTGGCATTGCATTCTTCCATCCCGGCTTCTTTTAAAATTTTCATTGCATATCCCTCTTGCTTTATAGTAACACAACCCTTTTCTTGAGAAACCTCAATGCCCAAGTAATAAGTCAACAAGCCAAGATCTGACATTTCAAACTTTGACGACATCATGTTTTTGAATTGGCTTGTTATTTCATGACACGTTCCCGTTACGAATAAGTCATCTACGTACACTGCCACAATGATATATTCGCCTTTTGAAGCCTTTTTATAAACCGCCGTTTCTTGCAAACATCGTTTAAAACTCATTCCTCGTAAGATACCATCAAGTTTAATGTTCCACGCTCTTGGTGCTTGTCTTAGGCCATATAAAGCTTTTGCTAACTTGTAAACTTTTTCTTCTTCTCCTTTTTTTCTCAAAACCTTCGGGTTGTCATACGTACACTTCTTCTTTTAATTCACCGTGCAAGAAGGCCGTCTTTACATCCAAGTGATAAATTTTCCATCCCTTCCCGGCCGCGAGAGCGATCAATAAACGAATCGTCTCGAGACGGGCTACCGGCGCGAAAACTTCATCAAAATCAATGTCGTGTTCTTGTACATAGCCTTTTTCTACGAGTCGCGCTTTGTACCTAGAAATAGATCCGTCCGCATTTCTTTTGATTTTATATACCCACTTTAATCCGATGGGTTTGACATTCTTGGGAAGAGACACCAGCTTCCAAGTTTTATTCCTTTCAATTGACTCGATCTCGTCTTTCATTGCCTTAAGCCATTCGGGTTTCACAATGGCTTCTTTAAAAGTACTTGGTTCCTCGTCAGACGATAACATTAATTCGTTCATGTTACCTCATAATCATTGAGGTGAATTGGCAAAACGGAAACACGATTAGAACGACGTACCGGGTTATTCTCGAACTCGTTATTGCCGTCGGACTCGTGATCGCTGCTGTCCGTATCAGGTTCTGTCGAGATTGGGCTGTCTACTGTTGGGCTCGGGGCTGCTAGGCTCGGCGCTGCTGATGGGCTTTCATTTAAATGTTGTGGAGATGGGGTGGCATTGGTATTGGACTGGTGAGGCCCACTATGTGGCTGATTTATCAAAGTGGCCCAAGCAATTTTGAAAGTTCCATAATCATTTTCCTTTTCCGCTGCTATTGTTCTCGTACCTTTTTCCATTTCCTTTTTCCATTGCCATGACAACTTTTCATCATAAGTTACATTGTTGCTTATAATAATTTTATTTTCATACGAGTTAAATAAACGAGCACCTCCCGAACCCGGTTCCGTTCCGAAATAAACCAATGGTCTCGATCTATCGTCAAGTTTCTTTAGATGTTTCGAAACAATCCTTTCATACGCAACGCATCCGAACACCTTTAGATCTTCAAGATTCGGTTTTTGACCATAGAGTTTTTCGTAAGGCGTGACTCCTACTAACGCTCTCGTAGGGGTATGATTTATAATATAAGTTGCATGTCGAACGGCTTCTCCCCAAAACTGATTTGGAACTTCTTTTGCTTTCATAAGACATCGTGTCATCTCGATTAGCGTCCGGTTTCGTCGTTCTACTATGCCGTTTTGTTGGGGTGAGTACGGAGCCGTTAACATTCTTGCAACACCTTCTTCGCTCCAAAAACGATTAAAATCATTTGAAGTAAACTCTCCCCCTCTATCTGTGTGGAACGTCTTTATAGCCTTCCCGGTCCTATTTTCAATGGACTTTTTTGAATTTTTTAATTACATCCGCCGCGTCGTTTTTGTGTTTTAACAAAAAAAAACCACATGTATCTAGAAAAATCGTCAATTAGCACCAAAATATAAACGTTACCGGCCATCGTGGGAGGATCAATAGGCCCGCAAATATCTCCATGTAGCATCTCGAGAATATTTTTAGACTTATAATTGGTTTTCTTCGGGAATGTATGTTTGTTTTGTTTGCCTATCACGCAAATTTCGCAAACTTCTTCTTGATGTTTCAAAATTGGAACTCCATTAGTCAACTTGTGCATCATATTCACCGCACCAAAGTTGATATGGCCTAGTCGTGCATGCCATAACCAAGACTCGTCATCGATCTTTGCTTGCAAACATTGGGGTTTTCCAACTTTAAGTCGTGTTTTATAAAGGCGATTTTCACTACGTGGAACCTTCATTAGCAACCTTCCATTTCGATCTTTCATTGTCAAGTAATCACCATGCATTCTAATGTCACAACCGGATAGTGTCGTTTGGCTAAGACTTATGACATTGCTACGAAGAGAGGGAATATAGTAGATATCTTTCATAACTTTTTGCTCACCGTTTTTACCTTCGAACAAAATTGATCCTTTTCCTTCAATTCGAACACACGAGCCATCTCCAAATCTTACTCTTCCGGTTATCCGTTCATTCAACTCCGAAAAATATGAGTACTTCCCGGTCATGTGATTACTTGCCCCATTGTCGAGGTACCACATATCATCGTCTTCTTGATTCGCCTCTACTTTGGGTGGAATGTATTTGTCTTCATTTAGGAAGATTGTCTCCTCTTGCATCATAAAAAATGTTCCTTCTTCGTGATCGACCTCCTCTCGGGCATCATTGAGATTTGCTTCATGTTTCCTGTTACGTTCCGGGCATCGCGAAACAAAGTGTCCGAACTTATCACACCGGTAACACTGAATATTTGATAGGTCTCTTTGTTCATGATTTTTGCCTTTTCGTCTTTGATCATCACGATCCTTTGATGAGTCCCTTTGATCGTGGTTTTGGGTGTTATCTCGACCACGACCATGTCCTCGGCCTCGTCCCCCACAGTATGCACCACGTCCTCTCCCACGGCTTGAGTCTTGGTTTTGATTTGAGTTATCGGTCTTGGCATAAAGTAGCTTTTCACCGGAATCGGATGCTTTGCCGGTTTCTTTAGTCCGTTCCTCGTAAGCTTTCAGCCGTCCAACTACATCTTCAAAAGTAATGGTTTTTAAATCCAAAACTTGCTCGAGTGCTGCTACGATGTGAATGAATCGACTAGGAAGACTCGTAAGAAATTTCTTCACCAACTTCTCTTGTGAGATTGTTCCTCCAAGTGTCGCTGAAACGGTCGCAAGTCCCTATAGTTTTGAAGAGAAATCGTCAATAGTGCTCGTATCTTTCATCTTCAAACTTTCGAATTCCGAAGTCAATGTTTGCAAACGTGTTTCCTTCACTCGATCCGCACCCATGTTCCGAGATTTGATTGCTTCCCACATCTCCTTAGCAGTGGCGAGATTCCCGATTTGCAAGATTAAATCTTCCGGTATTGATTGAAACAGTAATCCCATCACGATATTGTTTCTCTTTGCATCTGTTGAACCCGGATCAACCACGTCCCACACGCCGTGAATGCCGAGTAAAACTTTCATACGCATGTTCCATATCGTGTAGTTTAATGGCGTCAACTGCGGAAATTGAAACGAGATCGAGTGCGCCTCCTTCACGGGTAGATTCGCTCCGTCTCCTGCCATGAATAATCAATAGCAAACCACACACCTTCTTCAACGGATGAGTAATAAAATAATGATTCCAATTAAGAAATTGGAAACGACGACCAATAGGACCAGATACTTTCTCTTTAATTGGACCACAAGAAAACAATTGTTTTCTTCAAAACGTGTTCTTGATCCGGGAGCCAATTAATAAATAATTCGGGTATTAAATACTTGGAGGAAAAGCAACAATTTTGCATAAGAATAAAAGCTTTTGCCGGCTTGAAAAAAAATCAATTGATCGGAAGCAAGAGGTTGTGGCTCTGATACCAATTAAAGAATTATGTCAACCAAACTAACACTTTGATTGTATTAGAGAAATTCAGTATCACAAAAACTCTAACAATTGACCTATCTCTATACATGATCAACGCATACATATATAGATCTAGAATTCATATTGGATTACAATTCCTAAACAAAGAATTAGGAAACTTTCCATATAACACGTATCTTGGACAGCACTCCAAAACACCGATGGGTCGACCCGCGACATTAAGCCCATGGTCTCAACCCATTCGACCAACACCCTTGAGTGGGGTGTGAGGTACAAGATTGCCATGGGTTTAGCTTATGCGCTGCTCTATCTGCACGAAGAATGGGAACAATGCGTGGTGCACCGAGATATCAAAACAAGCAACATCATGCTTGATTCAGGATTCAACGCGAAGCTCGGAGACTTTGGATTGGCTCGACTCAGGGACCATGAGTTAGGTCCACAAACTACGGGTTTAGCGGGAACTCTGGGCTACTTGGCTCCGGAATACGTAACCACAGGAAGGGCCAGTAAAGAGTCAGACGTGTATAGCTTTGGGATAGTTGCATTAGAGATTGCGTGTGGGAGAAAGGCGAGGGATCGCATTGATGAAACATTTGATCTAGGGTTGGTTGAGTGGGTTTGGGGTTTGCGAGGAAAAGGCTAGCTGCTTTCAGGTGTGGATCAGAAGCAGAACAAGGAGTTTGACACCAAACAGGTTGAGTGTTTGATGATGGTGGGGTTATGGTGTGCTCACCCCGACCAGAATTTGAGGCCGTCGATCCGACAAGCAATTCAGGTGCTTAAGTTGGAGGCTGCGGCCCTAAATCTTCCAATGAAGATGTCGGTGCCCATGTACTACACAGCACCAGATGCTCCTGAAGTCAATTCTGGAGGCGCTACGATGACTTACACTAGCATTCATCTCGCACGTTAGTCTTTGTTGATGTGGTAGATGGACGTAATATTGTAAATTATCTAAACGGACTTTGTATTATTGAAGAATAAGTCAAGTCAGTAATTCAAAGTTTGGTGCTAAAATATTTACTTATTTTAGACAAAATTACATTCTTTTGTCTACATGCTTTTGTGGGTTTCTGAATTAATTTCAGTTTTTTAATTTTTAATTCTTAATCATCCATGGAGAAATTTTTTGTCACATGACTTTGGTCCCTGAGCTATTTAACTTAACAGATAAAACTTTAAAATCATACAATGACCATTCTGTTCTTATCATAAAAATCAAGAAATGATTATTTTGTCTTTATCATATGCATTTTTACGATCTTCATTTTTTAGTGTTCATTCTCAAGATTATTTAAATCCAATATAATTACAAAAAAATGTTACCAAAATCTTTTAAAATCAAACCTAATTATAATAAGAATGTAATATAATTATGCACATCATCATTTAACAAAATATGGGTTCTTTTGCTCATTGAAGATCAACAGAAACCTAATCACAACCATAAAGAAAAAGATTGTCCTAGGAAAAGCAACATCCAACTATCAAATTAGATTGGGTGAAACAATGAATATGACTTCTTGTAAGAGAAGAAAAAGAGCAAGATCAAAAACCTGGGGTCCCTCGAAATGGAGGAGGGAAACCTCTATTTATATAGCCACGACGGGAAAGGCGAAAGAGAGGGCAATAAAGAGGGATGGGGCTTCTTTTAATATATTTGAGTAAATTACACGAATGGTCCCTATGGTTTGAGGTAATTTGCATGCTTGGTCCCTAACTTATTTTTTTAACTTGAAAGGTCTCTACTATTTGTTTTTGTTACGTGTTTGGTCCCTGCTGTTTATTTTTGTTATGCGTTTGGTCCCTGTCTTACCTAAAAAGACTATTATTTGAATAGAGAAAAATGGTGGGGTAGATAAGATAAGGTGAGGGGGGTAAGATGGGGGGGGGGGGGGTGTTTATTTAAATAAATTAAAAAATCAAGGGAAAAATAGTATTTTTAGGTAAGACAGGGACCAAGCGCGTAACAAAAACAAACAGTAGGGACCTTCCGAGTTAAAAAAATAAGTTAGGGACCAAACGCACAAATTACCTTAAACCATAGGGACCATTCAATTAATTTACTCAATATATTTAGAATTCCTTAGGCATTATATACATTTTGTTATATACAACAATGTCCTTACATATAACAACTTTAAGTACATTACTATTATGAGTAAAAATAAAAGTAAATTGCTAGTAGGATGGACAGTTTAGTCCTGCTTCTACACCATGTTACCTCCAGAGTAGGTAGGGCGTTGTTCCGGCATCTCCCGTGTACCGTCTACATTGCTTTTCCCCTTTTCATTCTTTGGTCCACTACGAAACAAGACAACAATTATGTTGTCACTTCTTTTTTATGCGATGCTAATGGGTGGGGTGATATTCCTGCAGGTACTGATGCGCTACATAGCTCACCCACCTCCCTTCTCGAGCATTTCCCAAAACCGTGTCCACTGTCCTTATCAGTGAAAATTTTAAATAAGAGTGTGTGAGATTTCATCTCAAAATAACTTATTCACTTATTGATTATTTGAAAAGTCAATAAGTCAAAAAAATGTTTTGCAAAAAGAAAATGACTTTTAAAAACTAATCCAAACAATTTTTTTAAAAACTTCTTTTCCTATCTCAATAAGCTTTTTTTGTCTTAAAAGTCATTTTTATGTTCAAAATTAAATTTCAAACACCCTCTAAATGCCTTTATGAATAAAAAATTACATAAAAAAACTAAAGTTATATTGCTATTATAAATAAATAAACATAGTAAAGTTGTATATTTGAAAAATAAAAATACATTACAAGGAAATTGTTACCCTATATAGTACAAACTACAAACTACGAAGCTATGATGCATGGAAACGCCATTCAACTAGCCGTACCCGTATCTGATACTTGGAGGAAACGGAAACGGCAGGAAACGTATCTTGATCGTATCAGCGACTAAGGAAACGTATATGGGTAAGTTTCCACAACGTTTCTTTTTGCATGTGCTTCTTAAATAGGATAAAGGTTTAATGGGCTACACGAGATTACCCTACAACTATTAGTCCCTTAACGTTGCCTCCCTAAATCCTTAAGTTTTTAATCGATTTGGTATATTATCCTAATATCGTTTACAGTTTTGACTTTTGTGTTTACTGCTTGCGCACTTGGCTGTCGACGATCAAGAACAACAAAGAATTCACCACTCACGAATTCAGTATTTTTGGAGTTTAAACTTTACATATTTTGGAATTTTTTTAATATATATATGTTTTTTCGTATTTTTATATTGCCGTATCTGTGCCGTATCCGTATCTTGAATTTTTGAGTTTTGCCGTTTCCCGTATCCGTTCTGTATCCGTTTCCCGTTGCCGTGTCCGTTTCCGTGCAACTTAGCTACGAAGTATACTTTTGGTTATTACGAATAGCTCAACTGAAGCGATCCACATTCAACGCACGAGATCAATGCTAGTGTAAGTCAACGAGGCACCTCCAGAACCAGAACTGAGCTCAGGCACATCTGGTGCTGCGTAGTACATGGCCACCGGCATCTTCTTTGGAAGATTTGGGGCCGCACCCTCGAACTTAAGCACCTGAATCGCTTGTCTGATCGACGGTCTCAGACTCCGGTCGGGGTGAGCGCACCATAACCCCACCGTCATCAAACACTCCACTTGTTTCCCATCGAATTCCTTGTTCAGCTTCTGGTCCACCCCTGAAAGAAGCTCCCCTTTTTCTAGCAAATCCCAAACCCACTGCACTAACCCTAGATCAGAATTTGGGTCAACGCTATCCATCGCCTTTCTCCCACAAGCAATCTCTAATGCAACCACCCCGAAGCTGTAAACATCCGACTCTTTGCTGGCCTTCCCTGTCGTTACATACTCAGGAGCCAAGTACCCCAGAGTTCCGGCTAACCCAGTTGTCTGTGGACCCAACTCATGGTCCATGAGTCGAGCCAATCCAAAGTCTCCGAGCTTCACGTTGAATCCCGAATCAAGCATGATGTTGCTTGTTTTGATATCTCGGTGAACCACGCATTGTTCCCATTCTTCATGGAGATAAAGCAACGCAGAAGCTAAACCAGTAACGATCTTGTATCTCAAACCCCACTCGAGACAGCTCTTTTTGCCAAAAAGGTGAGAATCAAGGCTGCCATTTGGCATAAACTCGTACACCAGCAAGAATTGAGTTTGATCATGGCACCAACCGATGAGTTGCACCAGGTTTCGATGCCTTAAACTGCTAATAATCTTTACTTCGGTTATATACTCTTTCTTCCCCTGTTTAGAACCCTGTGAAATTTTCTTAACAGCAACAGCCATGCCTTCGCGTGCTAAGTAGCCCTTGTAGACACACCCAAATCCTCCCTCCCCCAACTTCCGGTCACCGGAGAAATTGTTGGTAGCTGAAACAAGATCCCCATAAGAAAATCTTTTTGGTCCTGCTCCTCTTTCCAAATCATCGTTTATCGATGTCAAGGTGACTGTTTCCGATGATTTCTGTTTAGGTTTTCTTTTTCTCCTTAAAAATACACCAAATGCAACTATGCCTCCTAAAACTAGAACACCAAGGGGGACTATTAATCCCACTGCTAGTTTTGTTTCCGTTGAATTATCTTTACTCTTCTTTACAATATTCAAGCTTGAATTGAACTCCCAGTATTGAAGGATATGTCTCTCCACATTGGCACCAGTGGCAGCCGAAAACCCAACTGTCACCCACTCAGGAAGAACTTCCCGGAGGTCAACTTGATACGAAAGACTGGTATTCTCTCTAGAATCATTTCCAGCACCATAGCTCCATGACAGATTTAGAATCTGAGTGGTAGCGCTGTAAGAAACCGAGCAATCCGCAGGGTCTCCACTGTGTAAACTAGCATTCCAAGAAGTGTAATTAACCGAATGAATCGAGTTCTTATTGATACCCACATGTTCATATGGAGGATCCCATTCTGAATTCACGAATGAATCAAACTCGATGACAATCATTTGGTTTCTGGATGAATCGGTGTAAGTTGTGTTGAATAGACCTAAAAAGCCACCAGCTGAATTGGGTGGGATTTGGAAGCCAACTGGGGCTAGAAAGAAAGTGAGGCCATGACCATAGGTGGATTGAAGTTGTGTGTCGATGATGAAGGTGAAGTGAGTGGTGAAATCGGAAACTTTACCGGATTTTTTGTCCCATATTGGGATTGTATCTGCATATATGGCTTGACCCACACGAGTTAAGTAGTTGACTTTGTTAAACTCTATGGTTCCAACAGAAGGCATGGCATCCCCTGAATAGAGTATATTTGTAGCATCAACATCAAAACGGTTGATCTCGAAATATACTGATTCAGATAAAGGTAACAAAAATAAGAAAAACAGATAAGAAACTAATTGAAGTCCTGGAGATGATGAACTAAAGAAAGAGGTAGCCATGGTTAAGCAAGAACTTAACACATAGTGTATGTGTCAATGGCACCTGAATATGTTTTGATAAATACGATGAAGAATGCTTATTATATAATATGGATGCCAATGCATATCCCTACAAACCTTGATCTACAAGTTTCACCTAATGCCTTATTTTATATAAATATTCATAGGTTCGTGAAGATAGAGTGGGAATTAACTAAGCAATGAACAACTAAGCGCTTAAAGTCAACATAGGAGATAATTTATGTTAAAGAATAAAGTCGATGATTATACAAAAAAGATTATGATAATGCGATCATGTCTCTTTCTTGATTAATTTTCAAAGTTAAAGACTCTTTTTCCTAGGTTTTTCTGGGATTGTGACCAATTCAACCATGTAAAAGAATATAAGGTTGCCTGCAATTAATAAATCTTATTCTGCTCCTATCAAGAGCTCCATCAAATGCATGATGATGTTAGACCTCGTACCTTCTTCTAGATCTTCATTGACCTGAAACAGGCGGCATTATTCCAGCCTTCTTATTCATCTCCCATGATAAACAAGTAACAGTTGGAGGAGATAAATTAATTACTTAAAACAGAGATAAAATATGAAAATGAAATGTAAGCAAATGAAATAAAGAATAACAGTTCAAGAAAGAGGATACAATTTATGAATGAAATGTCGTCATTTGAAATGAGATGTGCGGACGAATGCAATTCTTTGACAGAGTTCGCGGGAAAAGTTGTTGGGGAAGTTGTAAAGAATGAAGTTATGATAACATTCATTTGCTTTATGTCTCAAGTATATATTTTTTTTAAATGGCATTTTTATAAAATCACATTTAAAAAATATACTTAAAGAAGAATATATATATATATATATATATATATATATATATATATATATATATATATATATATATATATATATATTATTTTTTTTATTTTTTTTAACTTTAAGCATAAATCTCTTGAATATAAGATAAGAAAAAGAGAAAGCCAACACAGAAATAACTTATAGAAAGTTAGAAACAATGGCATACCCCTTAGTTACTTCCTAAACATATTACATCATTAACAATGCATCAATACTTATAAAGACGACATTGATAACATATATTGAAATTACAAACTTTTGCCCGACATTCAAGAACCAAACGACCATTAATATCACGATTACAATTAGAACACACATATTTGGGCGTTCTTTTTCTTCGAACATATGTTAATATATGTTTGTGATAGGAAACTTTGCTGCTGCCCTCGTACACCATGTTTTCAAAATAATCGTCCCAACTAATGCACCTAGGGTGAAAAGAATTTTTGCATTTTTGACAATAATACATGGGGAACTTGGGGTGCATTTCCTTCTCACATATATCGCAAAAGAAATCTTCAGGATGATCCATGATTGGAGGATACATCAATGGGATTTCATGTCCTTTGCAATACCTATGAGCAATGGAATTTGGTAACCTCATTGCACATTCTTTGCTTAATATGAAGTTACAAGCCTTACAAGCATAGCTCATAATATCAGACCATTTGTTGCATGCACTACAAAGAGGTTCAGGATCAATAACTTGGATAAGAGGATGCTTGTGGGATTTATGTTTGATACTTTTGGGTAGAAATGCACAGTTGACACAGAGGTAGAACTTGCAGGTTTGACATTGGTAATAAAAATTGTTGCCATGGCTAAAACAACCATTGCATTGATAGTAAGGCCGATGTTGCAACGTCAATTCATGTAAATGAGCTGGATGAAGTTGATGATGTAATTTGAGGGGTAATTCAGCACAATATTTGTGGAGAGTGAATGAGCATCCATCTAATTTGCAACTATAGTACGGAAGGGAGAGGGGTCGTACACATCCATGACATACCTCTACTCGATCACTACTAGTGCCAGACATGTCAGCTTGATCTTTGACATTAAGGATTAATGGATGACGATGACTCCAATGGTTAATCATACCCTTTTTATCATCATCATCATCTGGTGCTATCATTCCAGAATGTAGCAGTTTCAGTGTATCTGTAAATGCATTTGACATGGGAAATTGCAGCAAATTATCTACCTCTTCATCAGCAATGGAAGTACTTGGACCATCTCTGAAACCACATATAATTCTTAATTAATTCAAGGAGCAATTTTCATAAACATAGAAAAGGAAATTAAAGAAGATTTACCTTGGAGTAGAAGGTAGCTCTGCATTTAAGGCGCATTTGATATGGCAAAAATATCTACAGTTTTCACAATGGTACAACCAATCATTCCGTCGGATGTAAATCTTGCAAAATTCACAATAATAAGAGAATTTATAGAATTTTTCTGGAAGAGAATAGACCAGAGTGAGTGGGTGATCAGGGTGATGAGGTAGATGGATGGTAGGGGCTAAGGAAGCACAAGTCTTGTGGATCCAAAAGTCACAACTGTCACAAATATAGAACAAGCCTTTATCCTCAGTTTTGCAAGCATCACACCTGATTGCAGCAGGTCTTAACTGAAGGGATAAAGTGTGTTGTGGATGGCCTTCATGTTCGACCTTCATCCCTGCCTCCTTCTTCATAGCATCAGCTTCCGCTTTGCGAGCAATCTCAACAACGCAACACTCGATGCAAGCATTAAAGTTAATGTTGTACTCAGGTTTTCCAAAGTTATAACAAAACCCCTTAAATTGGTTTACACTACAACAAACATTACAAAACCAAGATCTGAAATCTTTTATGGATCCGAAATCAAATATTGTTAGAGGATGCTCATATAAGGAAGGCAGGTTGATAGTGAGTGGAAGTTGTGCGCATGCTTTATGCATAAAGTGACGACATTGGATGCAACCATATGCAAAGCCACTTGATGATATAGGTTTTTGACATGCATAGCAACCTATTACACCACCTACATGATTCTCTAAAGTAGCATTTGCAATCATCTCTGAGTTGACAATCTTTAATGGATGCTTTTTATGACTAAAATGATTAATCTCTTCCATATCTTCTCTCTCTTTTGTGATATCCATACAAGTTGAACATCAACGACAAATTAAAGAAAATAAGGGAGATGCAACATTAATTTGTGCATTGCTCCAGAAATCAACTAATTGCTTTTTAGATTGCTTTGCTTCCAAGTAGTATTAATAAGAACATTCTTTTCTTTTCTTATATATCAAGTTAACATGATGCGTCCCACATTCAAAATTGGAATACTTCTCTTCTTCCAATTGGAACTAATTTCTTTCTTGTATACCAAGTTAACATGATGCTTCCCTAGTTCTATAGCTGTACATTCAAAATTGACATACATCTCAGCTCCCAGGGTTGCATTTCCGTTGTTTCTGAATATGATTATATCGTTGATCAATAACATTTCAGCCATATAACCAATTAAAATGTACATACATTTCTATAATGGACAAAAAAATTGAACTATATAATTATTAAGGAAAAAGGTGAATTATATTGCCTATATTGGTAAAAGAAATTCTAAAGTACGTTGCTATTTCTTGCAATATGCCCTCATTTTTACTCTTTTATATAGAAATTAAGGTTTATAGATGATGTCTTTTTAAGATTAGTAAAACTTATTTTGTAAATACGATCTTGGGGTCCCCATCTTGACCAGTCACATCAAAAGTGATCAGAATTGGGAATAAGCATTGTCAACTGGTTTAGTAGCAGTGGGCATATAAGGTGATTGCTCAAATGGGTCTTAGTCGACATTCTGGAAAAGAAAATTAAATACACATGTGCTTATATATATGAGTCACCAAGTACATAAATAGAGAACTTTAAACTTTTATAGGAAACATTCACATTAATTGACTTTAAAACATACATCTTAATTTGAAAATAGTCATGGATGAGAATATAAAACCAAAAGCCCTCTTTGATATCGATCTCCCTCCAAAATCTTGTTTTTCCCCCAAAAAAATTCAAACTGATCAACTTTTTATGTATATTTTTATGTCCAAAAAGAATTATAATTCCATATTTTTGCAGAAAACTTTTAAATCGATGATCATACTTAACTATTACAAAATATTAGCAAAATGTTGCTTAAATCAAACCCAAATATGCAAATTATAGCTTTTTTATCTACCATTAGTGTAATCAGTATCTTCACTTATTTTAGCACTTTTTCTTAAATTTAGGAAATGGATCAAGAATCCCTTATTTTGGTAAGGATGACCTTTCAACTCGGTGCAAAATCTAATATTACAACCAAGTAACGCTTTCCATAAGTTCCAATGAATTCAAATAACAAACAATAGCCTTTCCTATAGCTGACTTCGCAATCTACAAATAATTTCTTCATTATTTCTCTTTAAGGAACATATCAATTCTCAACTGAATCGTTAAAACCTATGTTATCATAACTAACTAAGATTTGTGATAAAACAGGGGTTTCCCTCTACGAGCTTGAGTTGTGTATCAGTATAACTATCTAGGTAAAGTGCTTGACCCTTAAATAAGAAAAGAAACAACCTGTAAGTATATGTCATCCTTGAACATTTCGTGGGTATATATGTAGCATTGCACTAGCTTTGTTGAAAATCTTCAAACTGAAAAAATATTAATCAGACTTGATAAAAACCTTTCATTACTCTTGTCTAAAATGGTTTTGACCTCATAAAGAAACAAAACAAGAGCTCCTATAAGCTGGTTAGTGTAATGTGTTATTCTTTATAAAATGTAATGATTATTATCGACATTTTGCTTTCAGACTCAAAAGTTAATTATCGGTGTTAATTACATCATCTCGCCTTTTTCTTTGTAAAGTTGGATAAGTATTTCTCGTTTGATGACATTTTTAGTAGCTAATATGAATATGTCAATTTACTTCATTCAGTTAAGTTTGTTAGTGACAAGGGCATTTCTGTAATTTAATGTACAGGTAGTTAGCTTGTTTAGTAAGCTGTATATATTAGTTCTTTTGTAAACTTGTAAAGTCCTAATCAATGGAAGATTTGAATTCTATCAATACTGTGTTCATTTTCATACAAATTAACATGGTATCATACTGAATTGATCCTCACCTTCCGCAATTTCATTTTCGATTTCACTTTCAATCTTCTTCTTCATCTTCAATTCAATATTTTCTTCACTTCGTCATGTCTGATTCGGAAATAAATCCCACCAATTCAACTATCATTTCTCCATCGAACTCCTATTATCTTGGATCGTCTGATAATCCAAGCTCTGTTCTTGTTACCAATGTCTTCAATGGTGTTGGATTCAACGCATGGAAACGTGCAATGATCATTGCATTGTCCGCCAAGAATAAATTGGGATTTGTAGATGGTTCGATCGTTCAACCTGCTATTACTTCTTCTGAGTATCCTGGATGGTATCGAGTCAATTTCATGGTGATAAGCTGGTTATTGAATTCTCTTCATAAAAACATTGCCGATGGTGTGCTTTTTCTTCAATCTGCATCACAAATCTGGACTGAATTGAATCAACACTATGAACAATCAAGTGGTGCATTGATTTACCAGATTCAGCAGAAGCTTTACTCTATTTCACAAGGTTCAGATGATTTTTCTACTTACTACACTAAACTCATGAAGATCTTGGATGAATTACGTGTTGTTCAGGATCTACCTGCTTGTTCTTGTACTGCTGCAACTGCTATCAACAAGTTTCTTGATGATCAGAAACTTATTCAACTTCTCATGGGACTCAATGATTCTTATAAAATCATTCGAGGTCAGATTCTCATGATGAAACCCTTACCTTCTCTTTCCACTGCTTATGCTCTTATTATTCAAGAAGAACAACAGAGGGAAGTTAATTCTGTTCCGGTTTTCAACAATGATGTTATTGCCATGAATGTTTCTCATAATCAGTCTTTTGCTTCATCAAAAAAATCTATTACATGCACACATTGCAAGAAATCAGGACATACGAAGTCTCAATGTTACAGACTTGTTGGTTTTCCTTCTACTTTCAAGTTCACTAAAGGAAAGAAAGATGAGTCACAGTCTGCTGTGCAGAACGTTCAAAGTGTTTCTACACCATCTACTATGACCTTTTCACCTGAGCAATATTAACAACTTCTTCAACTATTGAATAATAGCAACATCAACAATACTTCTTATTCTCCTCAAGTGAATTCTGCTATTTCAGAAGGAGCATTGCATCCTGATGGTACAATTTTTTCTTTTAAACATTTTTGTGCAAATGTTTACAAATCTTCTCATCTTCTTCATAAACATAATTCGTGGATCATAGATTCTGGTGCTACTGATCACATTTGTTCTAATCAAAGTTTCTTTGTCTCTCTTTCTAAACTCATTCAGCCTCATTCTCTTGGTCTTCCTAATGGAATTGACACATCTGTCAATTATATTGGTGATGTTCAGATTCATGATTCAATTGTTCTTCGTGGGGTACTTTATGTCCCTGAATTCAAATACAACCTTCTTTCTATTCCTAAACTCACTTCTCAACTTCATACTTTTGCAATTTTCACTGATGAAAATTGTTTTCTGCAGGACCCTTCCATGAAGAATAAAATTGCTTTTGGACTTCTTGGTCAAAGAATCAATGATTTGTATGTCTTTGATCATCATCAAATCAAGACTACATTAGCATATGATTACTTAGTTTTTCCTTCATCGTTGTCTTGTCAAACTTCTGTATTCAGTTCTACTTCTAATAATCAAACAATGTTATGGCATAATAGACTTGGCCATATTTCTGTTGCAAAACTCAAAGATTTGTCTCTTGTATCTTCTAAATGTACTGATTTGAATCTTGAATCTTGTGTTGTTTGTTCCAAAGCTAAACAACGAAAATTGCCATTTCCTGTTAGTGAGTCCATGTCTAAGGCATCTTTTGATTTGATTCATGTGGATGTTTGGGGTCCATATAAACACATGACTCATGATGGTTTCAAATATTTCATAACAATTGTTGATGATCATAGTCGACATACTTGGATTCATTTGCTTTCTCATAAACATTATGCTTTTACTCTTCTCAAAGCTTTTGTTAAAATGGTCAAAACTCAGTTTAACACTATGGTCAAAGTTATAAGAATTGATAATGCTTTGGAGTTGGGGTCAAGCACAGAAGGTGTTACTTTTTTTCAAGACAATGGTATTTTGCATCAAAAATCTACTCCTTATAATCCTCAACAAAATGGGATTGTTGAAAGGAAACATCAACACATTTTAGGTACTGCAAGAGCTCTTTATTTTCAATCAGGGATTGGCATTGCTTATTGGGGAGAGTGTGTTTGATTAACATGATGCCCTCAAAGATCTTAAATGACAAAAGTCCTTTTCAAGTATTACACAAAGAACAACCATCTTTGGAAAGATTAAAAAGTTTTGGTTGTTTGTGTTATGTCTCTTCTTTAGCTCGAGGCAGAGACAAGTTCATGCCACGTGCTAATCCTTATATTTTTATTGGATATCCACCTGGTCAAAAAGCCTATAAGGTATTGGATTTAATCACCAAATCCATATCTGTATCACGGGATATCAAATTTTTTGAAACCATTTTTCCTTTACATTCTCATTCTCACCATTATTTTTCATTACCAAATGATTGTTACCTTCCCAAATCAGTTTCTGGCCCTAATTCGGCAAATTCCAATTATGCCCCTGATACAGATTTTGTCCCCATTTCTCCTGAGGTTGTTTCCAATCATTCATCACATACTCATAATTCGCATGAACATGATCCTCCTTCACGTGCACCATTATTAAGGAGATCTACACGTGTTTCTCAACCTCCAATTCATCTACAAGATTATATTTGCAATAGTGCTGTTTCTGATAGTTCATCTCTATGTTTTCATACACTTACAAATATGTGTATTGGTTTGGATTCATCTTCTACTAAAAGTTTTTCAATGAATGTTACAAGAAGTATTGATCATGTTCACACTCATGAAGTTGAACCTGCATTTTATCATGAGGCTAAAGGCAAGCCCCAATGGGAAGCAGCTATGAAAAAAGAACTTGATGCATTGGCTGCTAATCATACTTGGGATGTGGTTAAGTTACCC